AAGAAGAAGAAGAAGAAGAAATTAAGGCTGACCATCTGTCAAGCACATCCCTGAGGGTGGAGGAATGGAGGCCACTGCAGCAGGGGTGGGGTATTAATGGGACCTCAGAGGAGAAAGCTGAGAATCTTCAGCCTCACCTGACCCTCAGTGGGCCCTGAGGTCTCTGGGGGTCCATGTAGCCAGGAAGCTGGGTCGAAGAGCAGGGCTGTGGCACAGTAGTGCACGAGGCGCGACGACTGTTTCAGGGTCTCCAGCTCCCCAGCCTGGGTACATGGGGCAGTAAGCACTGGAGCATGGCCAGGGCAGGGCTACAGGATCCCCTGGGAAGAGGCAGGGTGGGTCACTCACACTGATGGGCATGCTGGCGGGGGCAGAACGCTGCTGCCAGGTTACAAACAGGTTCTCCATCTTCATCTGGCGCTCCAGCTCTGGGGGCGGGAAGCCTTAGCAGCTGCTCTCTCTGTCCCAGATACACACACCTCTCCTCCCACTGCCAGGACTGGTCCTTACCTCTGCGTTCCACCATCTTAATCTCCAGGAACTGCTGTCCATGGTAAGTGACAGGATCAGGAGGTCTGGGCACGGGACCGAGAGTAGAGCTTGGGCGGGCAGCCGTGATATCCCTCAGGGCCTCATCAAAGGGGAATGTATCTAGGTGATGAGGACCCCCACCCCGAGAGGACCCACTCAGCCGACCCTGCTCTCGGCTCAGTGGGGGGCTTGCACTCCGGATGAGGGTCTCCACTTCCATGGTCGGCAGCAGGAACGGGTTTGGCTCCTGAGAGAGATGCAGCAGCACCATGAGCTTGCAGTCTTTGTCCCAGACCCTCTCGCACCCCAGGGCCCCTCTCTGACTTCTCTCCATCTCTCCATCCCCTCTGCCCTCCCTGTGTCCTCTCCCTTGCTTCCTTTAACTGATCTCTTTTGCAGGGTTCCCTTTAACTCATCTCTTAGTGGGCAGAACTAGAGGGAAGCAGGCACCTTTTCATCTCGCACAGGGAAGTCCAACTGGCCATAATGATGGAAGAGCCCAAGCTTCTGGCTGAGCAGGCAGAAGATGAGATGGGCCCGTGCATTCTGCCACTGCACAAGGCGAACCAGCGCTCTGCCCAATGCTGCTCCCAAGTCTGGAGCCCAGTTATAGGTCAGCAGCTGTAGCTAGAGGTCAGGGTGAAAATCAGGGTCAGGGAGGTTACAGGACCCCCTCCTCCCACCCAAGGTCTGATCCCATATTTACCTTCTTGTCCACCACCTCCAGCAGCAGCAGCCTCTGCCGAGGAGCATTTCGCCCTGAGCCCCCATCACCTCCTGGCTCAAAGCGCTGCAAAGCTTTGGCAGCTGTGGGATAGGGGAAGGCAAATAGGGGTCTGTGGTGTATCTCCTTTGATCCCACTCTGCTTCCCATGGGGTCAGAGACCAGGCATCTGTCTCCAGAACCTGCCCTCTCCTTGGGCAGGCCCTCACCCTGCTGTGTTGGTCTCCTCCACTGCATGAAGTTCCTTCCTATAAGCAGCAGATGCCGCTCAGCTGCTGGACGGGGAGCTGGACCCAGCTGTCCAGGGGAACAAGGACTGAAGGTCTCTGGCTCTGAACCTCTACTGGGAGAGAGGCGTAAGAAGAGAGAACAAGAGTCAGCCAAATAACTCAGCAGATTGAAGCACCTACAAGCGCAGGGGCCGGGGTTGATCCCTGGGCCTGCTGTGCTGGCCCCACTGGGGCAAGCTGAGATGGCAATTGAGCCAGGTGTAGTGGCACATGCCTATAATCCCAGCTCTTGAGAAGCTGTAAACAGACAGATCACTATGAGTCTGATCTAGTAGTGAGACCCCAAATACCTGTAGACCCTTCCCTAAA